AAAAAAATAAATAAAAGCGCGCGGAACTTCAAGCCGGGAAAATACGGGTTTGTACGGACCTGTCGCGAAAAGGCGTACGGACCCCATCACGTGACCATTTTCCAAAGGTTTCAGTGAGAGCGCGCGTAGGGCCGAAATACGGGTCATATGATAATAGAATGTTTTATGTAATATATACAATATGAGCGGGCGATCTGTATGAGGATTTAAAACAGCGAGCTGAAAGCGAGCTGTTTTAAACCTCATACAGATCGCCCGCGAATATTGTATATTACTTATGAAACGTTGAGGTAAACTAGCTCAGGTTTTAAAGAAACTTTTGAAAAAAAAATCAATCTGACTGAGAAAATCAGAGTAAAAGTTTATGCAAATGAACAAGAAATCTGTATGTAATATACAACTCTCTTCATGGGCTATGATTTCTATTGTGTTTTGCCTTATGAATATTAATGAGTTTTATAAACATGTTTATACTATTTTCCGTGTGTCCCATGGCCATATTCAAGGGGGACCACAAGGAACACGTACCCCACCCCCTCCCAATCCTTTCCAATTCAAAATAATCCACTTTCGAATTCCCTAATGCTCTCATTTGCGTGCAAAATATTCCTTATTGTGAGCATYAACATGTGAGATTTCAAATCGATTTTATTGTCTTTCTTTACAAATTCCGGCATGCGTTTTGTCGGGCTAAAAAAAGGAAAAAATGAATAGGAAAAACATTCGCCGACTGGGCAATATTTAAAAATTGGCATCGATATCAAACTAGCCGACAAAAAAAAATTTAATTAAAATCCTCAAAAAAAAAATTCATTAAAATCCTCAAATTATAAATTCAATATCTATTAGATTACTCTTAAGACGTTGGAGTGGTTTTCATAAACCCGTGAAACAAAGTGTAATAATTAGAGTGTAATAGATCGTAATAGTCGCGTAGAGACAATAAAAAACAAAAGAGCCAAAGTGTAATAGCGATAAATACGGGTTTCACGGGTTAAGCGAAAGCCACTCTATCCTTGCTTCAGGAGCATAATAGTAATAATGATAATGTTGTAGCAAAATGCGGCCAAATTGTTCTAGCATTTTTAACTCGATTATAGCACAATAGGCCTTATTAATATTCAAGATTTTCTGAATATTTCAGTCCTGGTGATGTTGTAGCAGGAATATATAATGTATAAGAACAGATATAATGTATAAGAACAGATATATTTCTCATACTGCCGGGAACCCGTCGGCTCCTCCTTCTGTAGTATTTGGCCACATTTGCTGCACTATTAGTATTATTTCTATCCTGCTCTCTATTAGATTACGGTTACTGAGGTCTGACCTATCAATGAAACATTTCAATGAGCTTACCATATGAGTGAGTGAGGGACCATTGCTGCTGTTCTCCACTTTGTACTGGTAAATAAGGACTCAAACTCTGGCCATTTGACCAAGTCATTACAGGATACAAATTATGTGCCGATGACAACGCATAGGAGCTTTTTGCGCGGTCAATGGCATAGGTCATTTGTTGATATGAGTATTGCGGTGATGGCTCGTAAACTCGAAATGCAGATCGACGAGCAATTCGACATTCATTTTTGTCACAAACGATAGTAGTTTGGGGTCTTGGCTCCATGACGATTTAATACAAAGTGATCTTTGACTGACTGAAGCTAAAATTTATACTATCAGCAGTAGTGCATAGCAACGGAAAAATATTTTCATTGCAACGAAACAGTTTGGAAAATATTTATTTTACGTTGTCTTAACAACGATGTTTGTGAGTAACGTTGCCAGGCAACGCAAGCAAAACATATT